CGGCGGGCCTATTAGGGGGCAAGGGCCCTCGACGGGCGTCCAGTTGGGCGGGGAGGCTGGCTGATAGCGACTTGCGCGGGAGGGAGAGCTGGCGAGAAACGGCAGGGCCGTGGGTGTCCCAGGCCTAAGAGGGCGCCTAAATGGCCATGACCAAGCCTAAATGGCCGTAGGACACGAGCGTCCCCGAGGACCCGCCAGTTGGCGATTTTGGCGGCCGCGTGCGGTCATGGGGCGTGGGGCTTCGCGACGGTGAGGTGACGACGGCCGGAAGCCCAAAGGAGTGCAGGTCTGCTAGGGAGCGCCCAAAGGTATGGGTGGGGGGGTGTGTGCGCGTGTGTATATATAGAGAGAGAGAGAGAGAGAAATGCATTATACCCGAATGTAGCCCCTTTGGGGCTCTTCTCGGGTCGCTGACGGCCAGTTGGCCAGCCAGAGAGAACTAACCTTGGTATGTACAGGATATTGTAGCTAGATTGTGGTGACCCGCACCCTATGTGCGGCGTAATATATTTTAGTTCCCTTCCCCTGTACCGGTCCTTCGCTCCGTTCCTCCAGCTCAATCAAGTAGCTCGCATCGACAATTGTGTCTGTAATTGGGCGTAGATATCCTATATGGGTGTGGGCGTCCCACGTAAATAAACGTTGGATACTACAGGGGGTCTGAAAAAGCGGCGATTTAGCCGGCTGCTTCCCCTAGTCCGTCGCCTGACCCTACCGCCGATGAGGTTGACCCGCTGCCACCGGTGTCCGAATCGCTGCTGTTCCCGTCGTCGTTGTTGTCGTCGTTGCTGTGTAGCCTTAGTGGTGCCAAATAAGCCAGTCGGTTTGTTTGTAGTAGAAATGGAGCTGTACGCAGCGTGTGTTTCGGGCTATTGAATGCTTCCTGCAGGTTCTGCGGGCAGGACTGGGAATCACCCCATATCTTGATCCTTAGTTTCCTGTATGCGGTGCACGTAATCAGAATATGGTGCCGGGTTTCGGGGGCACCGTGGCACCGTGGGCATCGATCCGTATCTGCGCGTTTGATCTTTGCCAGCCACCCATTCAGACCGATCTTGTTGGTCCTTGCCTGGAACAGCACGCTGCGCTCACTTGGTGTCATACCGTTGTAGATCATCCGGTCCTTGCCCCGGATTATCGGGTCGAGATCGCGTAGCTCCTTGCCGGGAGCGTTGGGCCCCGATCTTGCCAGTTGTCCTCCCATTCTTGGTCGTGGTTCGGATCCATCGGTCCGCTGCGGACTGTAGAGGGGCCAGGTCCAGCCCCTGGATCCCCTTCGCGCGCGGACCGTCACTTGTGCCGAGTTCAGGGCGCCACCCCGTTGCTCGTTTCGCCATTTCGTCAGTGAATTCGTTTCCCGGAACCCCAACATGGGCCGGGATCCAATAAAAGCTCGCTGGCCACCCTTGCTGGCGCCTCTCCCCCAGAAGGCGTATAACGTCCTTGGTCAGATATTGGCCGGATCCCTGTTTGGGGTTTCGGAGCGTGTTTAGGGCGCTTTGATTGTCTGTGTATATTTCCACCGGTCCGTAGAAATATGGGTCTTCTGTGTGTAGCGGCTCAGGCCAATGTAGATAGATTGATCTTATTGGGTAGCTCTAATACGAGAGAATTGCTTGAAGAAGAGAATATCCCACAAGCGAAGCTCTGTGAGATATCATCTATCTCGAATACAAACAGAACAAACAAGAATCATGCACTGCTTGCTGATATTCACTATAAACTCAGCATCCTGTATAGTGACTGCGCCGTCACACTGTGGCCATTCGAAGTGCCAGAACGAGTCCTGCCTGTCACAGATTGAATAGTGATTCGGCCTGATGGCCGTACAGGATACCCTGACCCAGGTGCATGGACAATCGGCCACCGATGAGGAACATCAGGCCGTCAACAGTTTGGTTTTCAACGGGAAATCTGAACCCTTTACGTACAGAATCTTCAGCTATAAATTAGCGAATAGTTAGTAGTAGTAGGAGATCAAGAATCAGTCTCCTGTCTGAATAGTATCTACTGCCTGCCTTTGATCTCTCTCCCTTCTAGCCTACGTATCCTTACCTAGTTGACAGGTCTTCTACCCTGAATAGTAGATATCCTTGACACTGCCAGTTCGGCGGCCGGAACCGTGGCGTGTCGTTCTGGGCCTAGGTACGCTTGTCGGACGGTCCTTGGATCCAAACAGACTGCCGCGGCCCCGATCCCACCATGGTGTCCTGAGCCGTCCGTGTAGGTCTTCGGTACGGCGGGATATGCTATACAGTGGATCCCGTGGTGCGTCAATGCTTCTGTTTTCGATTTTGCGATTTCCACATGTGGTGGTTCCCACCACGGGGGCACAATAAATGCTGTTCTGATTTCCATGCGGGAGGCGTCGATATCGGCCCGTAGCTGGAGCTCCTCTTCGGCCGCTTCGAGCGCGGAATGTAGAGCTTGGTTCCGGCTGAAAGCGCATCGTCTGAGGATTCGTCGGTACACGGGGGTTGTGGCAACTCTGGTTAGTGTGGCCAGACGGTTCCGTCGGAGCCGTTGTGCTATAGGTAGTAAGTGGAGCTCTGCATCGAATGCGTCTCCGCTCACGGCCTTGAAGCCGCCTGAGATGCTGTGTCCGGCCCGTCGTTGAATCGCATTTAGTGCTCGCAGTTGCTTGTCGTGTAACCCTTTCTTCTTCGGGACCCGTGGGTGTTGCCAGACGGAGTGCCACGGGCGCCACACACGCGTTGTACACCTGCCGCTTATCCTCTGGGGACAGGCCCCATTTGGAACGTCCCAACGATGTGATTGCCTGTAGTCCTTTGCTGCACTTAGTATCGATCTGCTGCAGATGTGTCTGAAAGTCGAGCTGTCTGTCCAGCACCACTCCGAGGAGCTTGGCTGAGTCGCTGGGGGCCACCACGCGGCCTCGGCCTAGGTTCAGGGTTTCCCGTGATTGTTCGGTGGTCTTTGGCTGGAAGTGAACCAGTGCGAACTTCTCCGGGGCGAAGACCGAGGCGTGTGTCCGTGACCACGGTTCGCAGGTGTTGAAAAAGGCCTTCTGTAGAGTTCGGCAATTTTCCGCTGGTGACGGGCCTACTGCAATTATTGTGGTATCGTCAATATACCCAATGATTATTGTTTCTTTGTCTGCTTCCATCATATCTGCGTTGTAGAATAGGTAGAGGATCGGGGACAGAGGTGACCACTGGGGGATTCCGGTGTCCACCACCGATTCTGGACAGGAGATCTCCGGCAGCTCCAGTGTTGTGTAGCGTTCCCTGAGGAATGAAGCCATCCAGTTGATAATCGCGATCGGGATTCGTCGTTTGCGCAGGTTATGCAGGAGCCGTCTGTGTGAGACATTGTCGAAGGCTCCTGAAATATCCAGGAGCAGTGCTGATGCGGTTAGGCCCCGCTTCCACGCGCTGCAGATAATTTCCGGGACTGTGTGGAGCGCTGTCTCAGTGCCTTGCCCCTTCCGTCCCCCAAAGTGGTTATCTGGGAGAAGTTTATATTCTTCTGCGAAGTACGATAGCCGTAGAGCCAGGATCCCTTCGAGTACCTCAGCGATTGTATTTAAAAGCGCGATGGGTCGGTATGATTTCGGGTTGGAGTAGTCGTCTTTCCCTGGTTTTCGCAGGGCAACGGTACGTGCTTTGCGGAAGTGTGTCGGGCAATAGCCTTGCCGTAGCGATTCGTTGTAGATTTCGGTCAGAATCGGTGCGACCAGGTCCGCCGTGGCCTGGATGACCCGGTTGGTGATATCGTCTGGGCCGGGGCTTTGTCCGCCCCCGGTCTGTTAATCGACTGTAGGACTTCGCTTTGGGTGATGTCAGGATTCTGTAACGGCTCCGGGTATTTGTAGTTCCTGATATCGTCGAGGTTCGCAGGTGGTGGTGGTGGTGGTGGTGGGAAGAACACCTGGGACAGAAGTTTCGCTTTTTCTTCTGGCATAAACTGGAGCCCGCTCGGTCCCTGCAGAGGTGGCGTGTACGCCTCGTAGGTGGTGCGGTTCTTGGCCCAACGGGACAGGCGCCAGATCTGGCTTGTGTTCCCGGTGGCCGCGGTAACCCGTTCACAGTTGGCGATCTGTCGGAATTTCTGGATGGTCTTGCGAGCTGTTCGCTTTTTACGTAGGAAATCCTCCCAGAGGTATTCCGGTGCTATCGTCCGGTGTTTGGTATGGTATCTGAGAATTGCTCGATGTGCCTGTTTGGCCTCTCTCTGGAGGTCCCAGCATTCCGTGGTAAATCCCGGTCTTGATAGTTCGGTCGGTCGGGCCCAGGGAGTGGAAGTGTCGATTGCGTCCTGGAGACACCTGACTACCTGGTTGGTGGTGTTATCAAGGTCTTGGGTTGTGGCTTTGGGGATTGTGTTTCTGACGTAATCGCGGAGCTTTCCCACATCCATGTTCTGCCAGTTCCTTTTCTGCGGTGGGGGCTTCTTGGTTGACTTCCACCTCCACCGGTAGATGATCAGAAATCCCGCTTAGGTGGTCGACCGCGCGTACGTGGTGTATCTGTGTTTCTAAATCCCATGATGTGAGACACAGCTCTAGTGTGGACCCCAGTTTGGGTGTGACTTCTACCGGGGCCGCGGTGTCGGTGCTGCGCGTGTCGCTCGGTCCTACGCGGCTTCTCGAGTTTCTGGTACGTTGGACCGGTCGCGTAATCAGCCCGCGGGGGGTGACTATGGCCAGGGGTCGTTCCTCGATTAACGATTTCAGGTCATCCGCGCGTTCGTTGTTATTTCGGGCGGCCGACCGGTGGCGGCTCCACAGAGGGTCGTGGATATTGAAGTCGCCACAGATTATATGTTGTTTTTTCCAGGGATCGTGTCGGCCGTGCTCAGGGCGGCCCGTAGGCTAGTGACACCTGGATTGGCTCGGAACTGGGGTGGATTATAAATATTGTGGACGAATATCTTGATGTTATACTCGGTTTCGATCGATACCGTTAGAGCGTGCTGGTCCCAGTAGATGGGAGTGTACTTTAGATCCTTCCGGATGTATGTGCGGACTCGTGGGACTGCTGGTCGTATAATCGACAGCCAGATCAGGTCGTAGTGATCCTTGCATTCTCGTGGGAAGTGCGTGGTGTCGGCAAAGGAGCAGATCCATGGTTCCTGGATCGCGAGCACGTCGTATTCTAGGATTTGGACATCGCGGAGGAGTGCCGCCATTGCGTTGTCGATCGATTTCTCTACATTATACTGCAAGATGTGTAGCGTTCCTGGTGGACCGAAGTCGGGCAGGGGCGGAGCCGGGGACGTTTCCGTCGGTCGGCCCCGTTTGCTCCCCTTGCCCCTTCTGGGCATTTTGCGGGGTGTGTTGTACACTGGTCAGTGGTCTTCGGTTGCCAGTCAGTCCCAATGCCGCCATGCGGCCTGCGTGTTAGGCTTTCCGCCTAGGGGTCCAGCCCGCTCGGGTCTTTGGCCGTTGTTCGGGTGTTGGTTGGGGTATTTCTCTCGGGCCTGTGGTTTTTCGGCGTTTGATCGGTTCCTTCTGGAGGCGCGTTGACCGTCGTTTCTTCGGGCTGCTGAACAGGGACATGGACATTTGCTGTTCAGGTCGTGTGTCGGTATCTGAGGCCGAGGATTGCTGGACTGCCTCCCGGTCTGGGATCTCTAGATTGGCGTCCGAGTCCGACCCCGAGTTCTCCGGGGCTGATGGCGCGTCTGTGTCGGATCGCCCGGGCGGATCGGACTCTTCAGACTGCTCGGAGCTTTCGGCTTGGGAGATGGTCCCAGATGGTTGTGTCAGATCTGATTCCGACTCGGTGCTTTCTGAGTGGTCTGAGGCGGCTGTGTTGGCTAGGCGGACCTCGTGGGCGTGGGTGATTGCTCGTTGGCGCAGATTTCGCGTCACTTGCGCGCCTTCCGGCAATGGTGTCAGTGTAGTTGGAAGATTGGTGTAGCGGCTCAGGCTAATGTAGATAAATTGATCTTATTGGGTAGCTCTAATACGAGAGAATTGCTTGAAGAAGAGAATATCCCACGAGCGAAGCTCTGAGATATTGTCTATCTCGAATACAAACAGAACAAACAAGAATCATGCACTACTTGCTGATATTCACTATGAACTCAGCAGCCTGTATAGTGACTGCGCCGTCACAAGAGGCAGGATTTGGAGAATATCCTCGGGGGGGTATTGAACGAGTGGGGAAATTTCAGCTTTGCTGAATGCAAAAATGGGATCTGTAGAGTCCTTGAAGGAAGATGATGGTACAAGCAATTCGTGTCCAGAGTTGCTATGATGAGATGCAGCAAGTGCGGCTAGATCGCAAAGGAATGGGTTGCGGAATATATCAGTGACGGTCAGGGATATTCCGTTATATCTGGATACGGTTACCAGTTTCATGGCCGCAATAGAATCACCACCAAGTCGGAAGAAATGAGCATTCACGGAAATCAAAGCTGTATCCACCTGAAGAACCTGGGACCAGAGTGCTTGCAAATCCAATTCCATACGTGTAGATGGAGTCCGTGTCGATGCGTTAGAGAGTCTATATAATGCCATGTCATCGGGAGACGAATTCATAGCAAGGCCACGCAAATGACGCCTATCAAGTTTTCCAGTCGCTGTCATCGGGAGCTTCCTTAATGGGATATATGCTGATGGGATCATATAGTGCGGTAGCAAGTCACCAAGAGAGTTCTGGATATGGAGCATGTCCTCTTGGAAGGATGTCGAGGCTGACAGAAGAATATCAGATGTAGCTAATTCTTCAGCTGCTGTATGGCCTTGAGATAATTCAATGAAAGCAACTAGAACCTGCTAATCGTGATAGACAGGTGAATGGATGAGGTCAACAGCGACCCTAGTTCCATCATTTATAGTCTCCTGGAGGCGATGTTCAATCTCGCCAATCTCAACACGCTGGCCACGAACCTTGACCTGCGTGTCTTTACGCCCGATATATATCAGTGACCATCCTCGTTGTATCGCACCAAGTCACCAGTCTTGTACATTCGACGGTCAGTCCCGAGCCCAAGCCGGTGCACCCATGCGGGATTGGTGATGAATGATGCAGCGGTTTTCTCAGCATCGTTGAGATAGCCTCGCGCAAGAAGGGGGCCTTCGATAAGAAGCTCGCCCACTGTACCAATAGGGGACAGTTGATCAGAGTTAGACGGGTCAACAACCCAGAGAACGGTTCCTAGCCCTCTGCCAATGTTGGCTGGTGCGATTCCACGCTGAAGGTAAGCCATTGAGGTCCAGATAGTGGCCTCTGAAGGCCCGTAGCTATTGATCAAGCACACTTTGTCCATCCATCGATCCATCACGCTAGCCGGGATTGCTTCTCCACCAAGAGCTAGATGGGTGACGCAGGGAACAGAATCAGGGTCAATATGTGCTGCCAGACTTGGAGTCATAAACAGCCAGTTGACATTCATCTGCGTGATCGCTGTAGAAAGATCGTTCATACGCTGATAGTCCGATGGTACACAAACACAGCCTCCATGGGCCAGGGTTGTAACGACCTCACTGTTGTTCACATCGAAACTGGGTGCTGCAAAATGAAGAGCACGGGTTCCTGAGCTAAATCCCATTGATGAACCCTCAGCGCGTATCATGGTACAGAGTGACTGATGCTCAAGGACCACACCCTTAGGAGTTCCTGTACTGCCTGAAGTAAATACCACGATCGCGGCATTTCGAGGATGTACAGCTGTAGAGAAGACCGGGGCTGGAGAAAGGCCTTGAACAAATTCACTGTTTATTATCAATGAATGGTCAAACCTCTCAGCATATGTTGAGCTTGTAAGAACAAATGGAGCATTGATGTCTCGGATCATCTGCTTAATTCTCTCAATGGGATGCTCTGGATTGAGCGGAACATAAGCACCACCTGCCTTCAGGACTGCCAGCATAGCAACAATTGTCCAGAGAGATTTCTCGAAATAGAGAGGAACCATAATCTCCGGACCCACATTGAGGGTAAGAAGATGGTGGGCCACGCGAGAGGCAAGATCATCCAGCTCTTGGTAGGTCAGTAGGCCATCCCAGGCGCAGATAGCAGGTGCATTAGGGTGGAGCGCCACCTGGGATTCAACCAAGCGATGGAGGCACTCCGGGACTGCAGAAGGCCGGGTGGAATTCCAGGCAAGTATTTGATGCGTATCAGTGGAGCTGGCTAGTGGTATCTCGGACAAACGAACCTGGCTATCACTGGTGGCGAGGCCTTTACTGAAATGCGCGAATTGCTCCAGTACTTTTTGTACCATCATCGAGCTCATGACGGAGTCATCGTATCTGGCCTCCACTTGCACACCATGAGACTCAACACTACAATCGATCACTAAGGCATAGGAGTCAAACCCAACCATTGACCCTCCTTGAACCTTAAGACCTGGTGCATTTCCAGCCGGATCATCTAGTAGTTGCGGCTGTACAACAAAGAGATGCTTGAGATCCAAACGCCGACGAGGTCCCAAGGAAGGCTGTGCAATGCCTTGAAGACCAGTGTGTTGAAATGGCATCATATCCACAGCTTGCGACTCTATCTTGTTTATGTACCCGTACACTGTGTCCTGCCGCGTGATTTGTATACGAACTGGAACAGTAGTTATTGTCGATCCCACTATTTCTGCAATGCCATTAATAGGAGTGTCTCTGCCGGAAAGGGTAGCAGCGAAAAGGACATCATCTGAGCCAGTCTGACTGGCCACCACCAAAGCCCAAGCAGCACGAAGAAGTATTGATAGAGATGTCTTGACAACTGTAGTTGGGTCGAGATTGATGAAGTGACTCTCAGTCCTGTTCGGTTGAGGCTGATAGCTTGCTGAGGGCAAGGTCGGGAACCCTAATGGGAGATCTCCTCTAAGCTGCGAGTCCCAAAATTGATGTGCAGCCAGCTGGTCTGTTTCCTGCAGATATCCTATGAAGCTGTTGAAAGGCACAGACGCAGGAATGCGTTCCCCATTTATAAGCCGGTCATACTGTGAGAAGAGTAATCGTATGCTCCACCCATCATATAGAGCATGATGTACTTTCCAAACAAATTGTCGCTGCCCTCCATGTTCTCCAAGTATGATGGCATAGCTGGCTAGTTGTGAGCCAAGTGAGATAGATGTAACAGCTTCTTGACTCCAATAGTCCTGTAATGTAGAATATCGGTGCCAATCAATTTTTGCTTTGACAACCACCTGCAAAAACCCATGGTTAGGGCTAGTTGCCCGAACGATTCTTGTGCGAAGTATAGGATTTAACTCGTATAATTTCTCCCAAGTTTGTATTACTTGCAGCAAGTCAGCATTATCAGGTATCGCCATTGCTGTCGAATTGACATATGCAGAGGGTTGCCGAAGGGTAATGTCCACGAGGGCTTCCTGTAGTGGTGTGCACGGGTAGATATCCTCTATATGCTCCTCAGATACGCTGCAAGCTTCTGCGATTGCATCAAGCCTTATTTGCTTGTCAATTTCTTCTCCAGGCCAGATAGAAAAAGGTTCGAGGAATTTGTCTTCTTCGTCGTTGTTTTCATGTCTGGCAATCATAGCAAGGTCACGAATGTTTCTATGACGGAAGATGTCACCAACAGTCAAGACAACTCCTATATACCGTCCCGCTGCTACAACCCGCATAGCAGCAACCGAGTCACCTCCCAAATGGAAAAAGTCATCCAGAATGCTTACAGAATCAGGATTAACATTCAATACCTCGCCCCACAAAGTTTGTATCAGGGATTCCATGTCAGTGGAGGGTTGAACTTTTGTAGCACCCACAAGCCCATAGGCAGCAAGTTGAAGGTCTGTAAGTTGCTCAGCAGACCCCTTAAGTTTTCCTCGGTCCAGTTTGCCCGATGTATTTGTAGGTAGCTGTCGTACGGGTATATAAATTGATGGGATCATATACTGCGGAAGATATTTGGCGAGACTACTTTGCAGGCTCATAAACTCAGATCGCAATGAATCGGATGAAGAAAGAAAGAGGTCAGTGTTGAACTCGAGTTCTATAGTACGTAGTGCGTGGGATGTAACGAGGAAGGCGCAGAGGGCAGTGCGACACGGCTGGCAGGCAGGGGATATCAAATCGACTGCAACGTCTTCAGTGCTTGGCATGAGATTGCGAATATGGTTCTCGATCTCAGCCACCTCAACTCGTTGGCCGTTGACCTTGATTTGCGTGTCTTTGCGCCCGGCATATATTAGTGATCCATCCGCATTATATCGTGCAAGGTCACCTGTCCTGAAGAATCGCCGGCCCCGTTGAAATTCATGCTTAATCACCCATTCAGGATCATGAATAAAGCTGGCGGATGTCTTGGCCTCATCATTTAAATATCCTTTAGCAAGCAGTGAGCTCTCCACAAGAATCTCTCCAACAGTTCCAATGGTATGGCTTGTATATCTCCATTTCTTGGGTTACTGGCAATACGTGAAAGTGATTGGAATGGAGATTTGGAGGTTTGTTGCATATCCCTCATGTGTTGACGTAGGGGTGTGTATGTGGTAAACTATGACATCCAATCCAATGGCAAAGACTCACTTTCGCATATAGATATCTAGTGGTTCAATGCTGGCCTCTGCTTCGGCTACTAGTGAAGCTGATCGATAGATCCCTGTGATACATTTGGCCGCGGTCTTCTGAATAACTAACGCTCAGCGGTTTAGTAATCCACTCCGGGGTATATCCATGTTTGTTAACCTTGGTCCAGACTGATGATGCTTAAGTGATTCTTGGCACTACTAGATCATTGTAGAGCTGTCTTGCGCTTTGTGGTGGGAGCTCCCTAAGTCGTGAAAGTACGTGGCTGGCCTGAATACCTCTCTTTATAATACGGCCAATATAGTCCTTAAATTGAAGTTTTGAAACAAAAGACCACTCCCGAAAGTTTCACTATATTGTGTCAGGACCTAGGCCGAGCCCTGCCTGAGGCACCAAGTCCAATATCAGGGCGGAATCCAGATCTCTGACCTGTTGTAGGCAGTAGTTTGAGAAGTAGCTCGCTGTAGTAAGGATTGTGTCCTAATAATAATAATTAGTTATAATATATTTCTAAAACACTTGAAGAGCGCTTTAGATTTATACCTTGATTTACTCCTTGATAGAGTTCTTGTACCTTGTTGACTTTGGCTAGACTATATAGGTATCCCCGGTCTATTGCTTAATAAGTACTTTATAAGCAATTTAAATTTATAGAAAAAGTCTACAATGTGTTTTTGTTACGCCTGGGTATTCGGGCAGGAGCTCTGGGACTAGTTAGTTGCTCTTGCGTACCGAGCGTCAAACCGGAGTGTCAGAATCTACTGAGACTCGATAATGAAGTGCCGTGAGGGTAACCTAAACCAAGGCCTGAACAATGGTGCGAAGGTAAATCCGTGAAAGAGCTCAAGTCCAAAAGGCCAGGCCTATCAAGTACATATACTCGATAGTTAAATGAGTACGAACGAGTTGAATTCTGGTCTTGCTACTAAAGGTAGCTCTGTAATAACAATTGGGTTTGATCACAAAGAACTAAACTAAGTACATGAAAAGAGTGCCCTTATATACCTTGTCCTTCCATATGGTGGTAGTTCTGCGGTAGTCCGGTGATAGTGTGGTTGGTAGTGTTCCGTATCGATGGTACTACCATCTTACTACCATACTACTACCAAGTCATGCGAGTACTTGTCAGCCGCGTTGGCTCTGATAGGTGCGAAGTATCATGGCCCAGCGATGGGCAGGCACCTCTACGTGGTGCTGGAGATCAGTACTTTGGCAGTTGTTCCGTATCCAACTGCCAGAGGAAGCCAAGTTCTGCCCTAACAACAGGAAAAAAAGAGGTGGTTGTGCGACCATGAGGGTTTTCTGGTCCTTCGCCCTTACCCGTCGCCCCCTTTCTTCACCTCCCACGCAACCTGTCAACAACTTCAAGGATTAGCTAAGGTTTGTCCTGTTGCCTTATCGTGCTACATCACAATGAAGTTAACCTCTACCTGTTCGAGGGGTCCCTTTAGATAACGGATAGCGAAGACTTTGGTCCCTTGGTCTTGCCATTGACCGGAGATCTGGAAAGACCGGGTTGGGTTGGCCGCAAGGGCTGGCAGCGCTGAAATCACAAAGAATCTCCGACAACCGATTGTCAAAAAGCAAATTATCAACCCGTACATCTGCGTGCACAATACTAAGGCTGTGGAGGTGGCACAGGCATCGACAATGTCGCGGTACAATCTGATCTGATGAGCCTGTGTTAATTCCACATCCTCAGGTAGTTGCCGATATTTGCGGAGATATAATCCCTCCGGCTGATCGGTTTCGATAGCTTCGATGATGTGGGAATGTGGTCTCTTTTGGTTCGTTCATTTTTCAATAAATTGAAACGAAATAGTGTGTCCGAAGCATAGTGCCGAAGGTCGCTTCGAGAGACATCAGTGCTAAGTGGTGCGAAAATTCAACAAGTCCTGAGAACAATTTGGTCGCTAAGATTGTAATTTGACCAGAAGCTCCGACACCCAAGATATCCAGATCATGCTGAGGTTGTAAACGCACAGTGTAGGTTTCAAATGTTGAAGGACCCTTTGGGATGTCAAAAGGGATACTGGACTCAAGACTGTTCGGACTCTTGTTTGCAAAAGAGAGTTTCTTCTATACAAGGGGAGATTATGCGAGAGAAAATGCCAAACGGCTGTAATAAGAAGTGTAGGAGCAATTGTTGTGGTACGAAAACCGATTAACTATGTAAGAAAACATGTCGGATTGTGGAAAGAACAGGATGCCAGTTAAAGCGGCCGCAAGCAACATTCATGTCACACGATCCATATCTCACAAGACCCCGCCAAACAGACCTCCAATATCGGTGAAATTCAGACCGTTGCTCCAGTACTTCCATTGACTTTCGCGCTTGAGGTCAATACGTGGAGCTTTCCTTACACTCCCTTGAGAGTCGAATGAGGTGGAAAAAAGTCCATTTTGTATTGAATATAGAGTTGACGCATTCGACCGCGTGACCCGCTCGCTTAGCGAATACGTTAGCAAGGATTATAGTTAGGAATTCATTAACTTATTATAGAATAGCCGCATAGCTACCCTTACTTTCTTTTAAAACCTAAAGACCAATAGAGGACTAGCTATACCCTAAAACCAATAAACCGGGGTATAGTTCAGCATTTGGCATTGAACTAGACGATTCTTCTATAAAGTAGATTTCTAGTGCCTTCTGTGACTGTTGCTAGTACAATCCGTTCCTGCGGAGAACCGACAAGCGCGCTTAAGCAGCCGGATACAATAGACATACTGGGAGTACACTGGCGCAGAGGGTGTTTGAGCAATAAAGCATTGAATTACCCCTTCGCTAGATCATCGTGTCGTTATATCGTCCAGAGTAGGCATTTACAGTGGGGCTTTCAGATAAGGAAGTCCAGGATGGTTGGCAGTTTATTCTATAGCTATGGTAGAATCCATATCACTATAATACAGTGCCTAGATTGAGGCGGTAAATTGGAGTGTAGTATTCTCCCGCAGGAAGTTAACGTCCCCTATTCCCCGGAGCGCAAAGTCAAAGAAATCCCGGAGATTTTCATCCACCGCCAGGAGAGTTTGCAACGGATTGCTGGCCGCAAGACTCCCGCGAAAGATTTGTGCGATCCCTAACTCAGGTGCCAGGGAAGCCAGGATTGCAATGTCGCTGAAATCATTATGAGCTGCACTCTTAATGGCAATCGCTCGCTTCCAACCGCGGATGCGCGGCCATACTGACTGCAGGGTGCTGTAATTTCCCAAATGCGCAGTGGCCAGCTGAAAAAGGAACGGGCCTGGAAACCCTGTTGTAAGCACTGGACCGTAAAGTGGCCCATCAAGGGAACATCCAGCCTGAACCACTGACGGATCTTGCATTGCCAGAGCTGTTGCTGCTCCCCCGAGTGAATGCCCAAACATGCCGACCGTCATCCCTCGCACATTTTGGCTTCTCGTTGCCTCCTCAAACCCCGGAATCCAGGTCGCCATCTTCTGGGGAGTGAATTGCTTGACAATGGAGTGAATCGACTTTGCACGTCGGATAGTTTCATCAGCGGATCCACTAGGGCTTGCATCGCTCGGTGGTCTCCTAAAGGATGTTCCACTCCGACGACAATGTAGCCCCAACTGGCCAGCGCCTCCTGAAAAACCGTGTACAGGCCCTCTGGGGATCCCAGACCCGGCGAGAAAACGATCACCGGGAGAGACCTGTGGGGAGAGAGGAACGGGCACGCTATATCAGCATCTTTGAACGAGTTAGTTCGTACCCAATCAAAGGCGCCTTCCGGCAGTGTATAGGTTTGCTCGAGTTGTCGTGCTGTTTCTGATGGGATATACAAGGCTCGTGTTACTGTATTCGCGTGCAAGGTGGGATACCGAAAGTGTAGCATGACATGATCAGGACTTTCCTTATCTGTCTCATCGTCGACTTGTATTCTTGCAGAACCGACTGCAAATGGTCCCGGGGGGTTTGTCAAGGTCAGGGGCATACTGGCTACCTCAGCGGAGGCAGGATGGGGAGGAAGTAGCTGAGCTAGTAGAAGTCCGGGCCACCAGAGAATAGATTGGATCCTTGAAGCTAGAAGCCGCATTCTTGACTCGACTCAAATGAATTCTGTGGGTGTTTAGGAGTCGAGGCGTCAAGGGAGTAGGAATCGTGCACGGTCTTTAGTGAGCCCAATGCTATTTAAACACCATAGCCCCTGGGGAGCAATGATGAATCGAGAAGAGCAAACATCCCTCAGGAGCCCGCAAAAAGGGGTGGCGTTTGTACGACATTCCGATCCTGGAAGCAAGGGATGTGACCGCTTATACAGATTTTTAATACAGGGAGGACCTGTATTTCAATAATTCACGTTCACGGGCCACTCTAACACGCGTCGCTGCAGTCTTCCATGGATAGTTTCCTTTCTCTCTATCATAAAAGAAAATCCCCCCCCTTCCACCCTGTTTGTTTGATGGAGATAAATTGACTTACCAAGTAACAGAAATGGTGGTAGTTATGCAAAATGGTTAAATTAGCCAGCTGATGCTTGCTTGCCAGTTTCGGACTAGTGCGGCTCGTGACTGAAGCGCTGGCTGGACCCGCGGAGGTGCTGTTGTTACAACACTCTCGGGTCATCCATCTCTAATTCCTCACTGGCTTGCTTCATTTTCGTGGCCTCGACATTGATATTTCCGGTACTTGGAATATGTAGAACTGTGGGCTGCTTCTCAAATCATCCTCAACGATCATCTAAACCCCGGTTGAGGCACCAACGCAAGCACCATCGGAGTTGAGCTACGCCGGCGCAAAAAGGAGATACATACCACGGACTTGCGACAGAAAATATTCATACCTTATGATCGAATCGACACCGAAGCATATTCTGTATTGACAGCTCCGACGCAAGGGCTTCGAGGACATGCTGAACTCCTTCGCGTACTACCCCACTGTCGGCTGGACAGCCAGGGTCAAGTCGCGGACAGGGTGCTGGATCTGCAAGTATCGCGGTACCCCATCCTTTTATGAACGCATATTAAGTACCGCTGATGGCTGATGATTTTTGATTGGTCCCATGGCAGGATCCGCAAAGTAAAGTGTGATGAAGCGAAACCGTACTGTAGACGTTGCCAGAGCACCGGTCGGAAATGCTTATACAAACTAGACGGTGGAAGTGAGCGCGTCGCACAGTCACCGACGCCGTCAATAAGGCATACGCAACCATCTTCCGATTTGGTCACTCATGCGTTGCGTGAGCGACGGGCCTTTGAGTATTACTGCCATCAGGCGGGACCGGCGATAGCGGGCGGCCTTGGCAGCCAGTTCTGGATGAGTGTTGTCCTCAAGGCCTGCCGATCGGAGCCAGCGGTTTGGGACGCGATTAATACCATCGGGTTGCTGTATGAAAATCTAGATCCATTTCTCGGACCTCCCATGGTCGTCGAAGCCTGGCCATCCGTTAACATACCCAAGGAAGCCTTAGCCTGGTACTCGCGCTCGGTGGAAAACACTCGATCCAGAATCACACAAAACAAGGCCAGTATAGATGTGGCGCTTATCACATGTGTACTATATATCTGTGCTGAGATGCTCCAGGGTGATGTGGCAACAGCCATTCGACTATATGAGCAAGCTGTGCGGCTGATTCTCACTTGGCAGCGACAGGCTTCCGTGACGTCACGAACCGTATCCATGGTGGATGACATATTGCCGCTGCTTGTTCGTCTAGGTGCAGTTGTTCTGATAATCACTGGATGCTCACCAGAAGGGTTGCCTCAGCTTCTAGCTATATCTAGCAACAACCTCAAGTTCTCATCCCTGGAAGACGCCCAGACAGCGTTCCTGAAGCTGACCATAGAGTCCTTTGGCCTCAGGGATGCGGCCCTCCGACACCAGCGTGCTCCCCACGACCGCGTTGGGACCATGTTTGATTTGACCGTACAACAGCGGTCTTTGATGCATCGACTAGGAGAGTGGGACAGTGCTTTCGCCTATCTCACAAGTGCGGAAGGACAGCCGTTTACCGACTTTCCATATCGAGGAGCAGTAGGAGTACTCCTGACCTTTCGTGCTGTCACGTCTATCATTATTTCCACATGCCTTTCGCAGCAGGAGATAGTGTATGACAGGCATATAGATCAGTTTCGACTGATTGTCGAGCATGCAGCAGCTGCAATACGTGCATCTGCGGCTCAGCATCACACGCAGCCGCAGTTTACTTTTGAACCAGATATCGGCCCGCCGTTGTTTTTCACGGCCGTAAGATGTCGAGACACAGCACTGCGATGGAAGGCGTTGACTCTGCTTCGACAAGCACCGAAGGTTCAAAGCTTATTCAAATGTATGTCGTGGGTGACACTTGCTGAAACAATCATCCGGCTCGAAGAAAATCATTCACCGAGAGTAAGAGAAGGGCCGTCATCTAACCTTCCGTGTAACATCATTGCAGGAAAGGAAAGTCGCAGTGACCGTTTGCCTAGGGATGAGGATGGACATCTGGATAATTCGCAGGGAACCGTATCCAGCGCAAATGAGTCGGTTGAGGTCGGCGGCCGTTGTTCGGATGAATCGTCGATAAACGGAAGTCACTGCATTCCGGAAGAGTATCGTGTGCATGAATTCGGCCTGTTTCGAGCAAATGGAACCGCACCTTTTGACTTATCCTCGCAAACGCCCGGCCTCTTCGTCCTGAGAGTCACCCACAATCGGCGTGATCCAATTACTGGAAACTTTGAGCTGGTAGAATGCTTCCTGCCTATGAGTTACTAGCGTGACAAGTAAGCTGAAGCGTCGAATTACTTGCCGCGAACTGTATTGCATGTTCAACACGAAGCAAAAAAGGAGAAAAATGACCAATATTCTTTGGAGTACCTTATGAGCTCCATATGTGAAATAATCCTAGAAGCCAGGGGAGAGGCAAGGAACCGTCGTTCCAAACCAAAACATGAATCAAAGGTGCTGGGATTGGCTCTAAGTGGCTCCCGCGTCATTTTTCGACGGACACAGAGCGTTAGGTCATTTCTTAACAAAATGCGTGAACAACCGAACGCAAATAACCGATACAGAGAATTTACACTAATGACTAGTGGTAGCTCTCATTCATTAATGTACAAATTACACCTATTGAGAATCGAAAGTCTGCGGGCTCTCGCCGACCTGTCTCCACGCTTTACGGTATTAACCTGAAAAGCTATTGCTATTGGACATTTGCGTATAGGGCTCAAATCCCCTAAATTGTTGGTACTTTTAACATGGTGATCTTGTCTAACTCTGTGCAAGCCTCGATGCCCAACTAGCGCTTTGATAAAATTCTTTCACTGTCATCTATTGCCTGATGATCACACGGCCTGTAATAGTCTTAATCCAGATATCTACTAGCTTTCTGTTTCTCAACAAGCAGAGCGCGGCGGGCACCTGTTCAGCATGCAGAGACTAAGCAAGAAACACAAATCCAAGCCACAAAGATAGCAAAGTCAGTTTTCTCAGATTTCTACTATTCCAATAAAACTTGCAATTATTGACTCTATCATATATAAAAAGTCCTTTCTTGCAGTCTTTCTCAGCACTTATATAGGTAATGAGCTTGTACTGATCAAACTTTACTTAAATAGCCTTCTTCTGTAACCCCAGGATATTAGAGCCAATCATGGTACCATCTTTGAAAGGCACTGTGGAGGTAATGGTTCTTCAGATTATCAGCAAGGATAAGACTCAGCGTAATCTCTGCCCAGCTTCTTCCAGATAAATCCCACTTGTAAACATATATCACTCCAGCAGTATTTTGTTATATAACATAAACTCAAGAGAGTGACCCGAACTGATCATAAATAAGTCTTTATCCTTAATTTTATTTTCCTGGAGCAGTTTAGAGTTCCAATTATCTAGGTTTCTAAAGAGGAAAGGCATATAGCCCCTAAAATCCGCAATAAAGTTGTCAAGGATATCTACTATTCAGGGTAGAAGACCTGTCAACTAGGTAAGGATACGCAGGCTGGGAGGGAGAGAGAGATCAAAGGCAGGCAGTAGATATTATTCAGACAGGAGACTGATTCTTGATCTCCTCCTCCTACTAACTATTCGCTAATTTATAGCTGAAGACTCTGTACGTAAAGGGTTCAGATTTCCCGTTGAAAACCAAACCGTTGATGGCCTGATGTTCCTCATCGGTGGCCGATTGTCCATGCACCTGGCTCCGGGTATCCTGTACGGCCATCAGGCCGAATCGCTATTCCATCTGTGACAAAAGTTGTACCAGGGGATGCCACTTAAGAGCAAATTCCAATCTGCTTTAAGCCACTGGCATACAATACTTTGTAATGATATGGAATTACATAATTCCTGCGCTTTATCAAAAACTGCAAAACTAAACATCATGTTTAATCTTTCTCTATTTTTCTCAAGATCTGCCTTTACAGCAGCTGGACCGTGACAGAGATTCAGTGTCTGATATAAGATAAGTATTACTGACCGAGTATTCTACAGTTTTCCATTAAATAGATTATTATCTCTGGTCAGGCAATCTGCGATGTGCTTTGAGCTAACTTGTAATTAAACTTTATAGTCGCCATAGTAAATATATATATCAAAGACTGGCATCACCCTTGAAATTTCTGCTGTCCATTAGTATATGAGGTTCGGAGATAAAACAATAATAATTGGTTTCCTAGCAGGTAATAGCAAGCTGTGCTGCTTGTATATCAGACACTCCTGGTTAAAGTTATTCTATATCTAATATAGGGTCAGTTAAAAAAGGCTATTTTATTATTCTCTAATTACTTACCTTGAGCATAAAGGCAATAGTTTCCCAAGTCTTTTTAAGCCTGACTGAACCTGCAAGGATACTTTCCTTTAGATATGACTTGAACTTAAATTCCAGCAACCCCCACACTGCTATAGACTGCCAGAATTTTAAAATAGTCAAATGTCTCATTCCTTTTATTCTTGGGACTTGCTCATTTTTAATGCCCAACATTTCACATGCCATGCTATAATTTTCTCGCTGGAACTCAATATTATTAAACCAGTGTTTATGGGCTTCAAAGGCAAGATAACCTTCTATACTTAGTTATATAATCTCAGAGTACTGTATATCAGTGCTCACTTCTATACCGAGCTCCATACTGTTAAGATCCTCAGTTTATTGGTATTTTACCGGGTTGAAAATATCTGTCTTCAGTTCATTACCCGCTTTGTACTTATACTTCCCTTTCTTAGAAGGTGTGCTTCTAACCATCTCTTCCCAGGTTAGCATACGCTCGTCCTCTGGTAGCTCCCAGTTAAGCAATTCTTCAAAGGCCGTATTTGCTTGCTTAGTTACCTCAATATTCTATTATCAATATGCCTTCTGGGATGCGCTGCGTTCGATCCAGTGCTTTAATAACCAGCATGTATTGCCAGTATTTCTTATGAATATTGAATATCTCTGATCCGCGGCTGATTCTTAGCTTTTCTTTTGGCTTTAGAATCTCAGCTGCCCATTGACAGCTCCGGATCATCCCTGGCTCTGGTTGCTGCTCGGTCTCATGGTCGGTCTCATGGTCGGTCTCATGGTCGGTCTCATGGTCGGTCTCATGGTCGGTCTCATACTCGGTCTCATGGTCGGTCTCATGCTCAGTCTCCAAGGCTTTGTCTAATTCAAGTTGCTCTTCATTCAAGATTACATCATACTTCTTTTGTTTTTTTGCACTTTCTTCTTCTAATTCATTGTTCTCAGCGCTTTTCATATTTCTTGTAGTCTTTCTCGTGCCTATTAATAATATAGGGTCAGTTAAAATAGCCTATTTTAGCAATTCCCCTTATCTCTTACCTGCTGGCCTTTCTGTGCCAAAGATTACTATTCCTCCAGTTCTTTTTTCTATTAGACTTGGAGTGTATATTTGTCTTATATATTCTTTTATACCCCACACTAATTAATCTATCTGTGAATCTGACAGATTTCTGTCAAAGAATATACTATCACTTGATGTCAGGTTTTTATTCTTGATTTACCAGAGAAAGCAGGCTAGATAGTCTTTCTTATTCCAATTATTCTTCTGTCTATTAATTTTTAAATATTTCTGCTCTTCTTTTGCTTCTCCTTTTGCCATCCAGCCTTGCACAAAGTTAAGACCGAAACTTTGGTCAGAAGCTATATTTTTCAGGCAATTCTCCCAAAGCTTAACCTAGTATGGTTTGAACAAGTTGGATTGGAGCTATTCTATCTATTCTGCTTTTGATCCAAATCTCAGGTTGGCCATCAGCTGTTTCTGGCTATTAATCCTTGTTCTTTTTTTATTCTGTTTCCCTAAGCTTTCACTGCCCTGTTCCATGCCTGTAATCTTCTGTTAGCTTAGGGTGGTCTAAGAATGCCTGTTTTTCCTAACTCATCTAAAGCTGCATTATAATCAAGTATAATCTTATCAGTCTTATCTTTACTTGATTAAGACGCTATTTTGACCTCTTTTAGAGGCTTTACTTCAGTTTTAATCGATAAGTGATAATATTAGTCATTTAGGTATGAATGGTAAGGAACATGATAGTGTGAGGATAAAGAAGGAAAGGTGTTAGTGATGTGATAAAAAGAAAAATCTATCTGAAGTAGGAGAATATAAAGAACCCATGAAAAGTGAATAATACTAGTCAATTAGTTCTCTCTTAGGATTAAAGATGTGTTTGCTCTTATTATTCACTACTTTGGATAATAAAAAAACATATATATGAAGTTATAATATACTTGTTAATTGCAGCTCGGAGAGCCGCAGGTAGTAGGGGAATAGCGTGCTACGGCGCCGCAGGTGGCAGGAGCAGAGGACTGGGTTTCTATTCAACGATCTACTACCATACACAGAGGTTGATCACTGGTTTCTGAAGCCATTGGGGTGCGGTAAAGATTTTACCGCAGCGGGTAGCACGTGACCCGCACGTGCTACTATATCACCCGCAGGCGCTGTAAGGTGCGCCTAACATTACCCCCCTCTCTCGGAAAGCCCTGGCCTCAGGGCTTCGTAGGTGCTCATTTAT